GACCAACGAACTAACAAAGAAACAAACGAACGTATGGTCGAACGAACAAACGGACATACAAAGGAATGAGCTAACTAGCGAACAAACAATCAAAGAAACGAACGAACGAAGTTAAGGAACGAATCAATGAGCGAACCAACGAAATAACGAACCAGCGAACGAACTAACGAAGGAACAAACCAACGAACGATGAAACGAACGTCCGATTGAAAACACCAAAGACCCGACGAACGAACGAACCAACAAACGACGAACCAACGTACTAAAGAACGAACGATCTAACGGACAAACCAACGAGCGATCAAACAAACGACTGAGCAAATTAACAAACGAACGAACACACGAAAGAACCAACGAACGAACGAATCAATGAACGAACGAACCAGCGAACGAACGAGCCAGCGAACAAACGGACCAACGAACGAACTAACGTACGAACAAACCAAACAAAAGAAGAAACGAATGAACGAACAATGAAACGAACGAACCAAGGTAGCAACGAACGAACGGACGTACGTGCGAACGATCAATAGATCGAAGAAATGAACGATTATACGAACGAACCGGCGAACAATCGCACAAACTTGCGCGGGGGCAACAGAAAGCAAATCTAGTGTCGGTCAAGTGACATAATCCCCTGCAAATGATTTCGGTCCCACGAGCCCTCACTTCTCCGAGGTACATAGTTATTTGTCGGCGAGTGAACGCAACCCCGTTCAAAGACCTTTTTCACAACTACGCGTCTTTTTTCGCGGATTCACGTGTACGTTTCACGGTGTTCCTTGTCGTATGCGGGTCGCCGTTTGGCCTCGCGGAGAAAAAAGCGCAAGCTGGCGGCACCCGCAATAAAGTCAATAGAGCCGTAGGTGCGCAGCGAGCGCCGCCACAAGATGGGGACGGGGAGTGCTGGTGCTTCGCGCCTTCTGATGAGAGGGGGGGCGTAGATCGGCAACAGTGCACCCCGGGAAGTTGACGTCTCGTAAGCTGGCACTAAAAAAATTGCTAACCACAAAACAAATATAGCACCATATAATAATATTTAATTGCTAATTAATTACACAAAAAGTTTTTTGCTCTTCAAATTTTGCGTAATTAATGGTGAGCTACCTTAAGATTAAGCTGACACTACTAAAACATGTTACCACAAAACCAAATAAGCCATTTTGTTGAGCGATTTTACTCACGCAAAAATTAATTTAATTGCTCTTCACACCTCCGAGTAATTTAATGGTTTAAGCTGGCACTACAAAAAATCTTTACCACAAAACCAAATATGCATAGTGTAGAGCGATTTAATTGGTAATTAACTACGCAAAATTAATTTTATTTCTCTACAAACTTCCGAGTAATTAATGGTGGCTGCTTTTTAATTATAACTTTTCGAACAATATTTTATTATTTTACTTCAAGTAATATGTTTTCATTTCAACTTCTGACTGGGGACCGTTCCTTATACCTTTTTGTTTACTTATTCTTCTGAATTAACTCTTTCAAATTTCACTTTTCACCCGACTGTTGCCCGAAGGTTATCCCGTCTTAATAAAAATGACTCATGATATATGTGTTGGTCTGATAGGCCGTCTATACACATACTCAGTAGCGAAATATTTACGTAAAGTGATTTGTTTGTTTCCTAGGATTGGGAACTCTTTTTTACTCTTTTACTCATAAATGATTACCCTTACTTCAGTTATTTCGTTATGTATTAAGCTGTATAGCTATATTCAAACATATCCTATTTGAAAACAATAATAACTACTTTCGTAAACACAATATTACTTTCATGAATTCTCTTATTATCATTATCTAATACTCTACCAATCCCTCCTTTTTTGCACGCATGGCTAAATCCCCTCGTAATTAAATTAATAATAGAAGAATTTAGTAGAATTTTTACTGCCCTTGATCTTCCTACAATGGCAAATACAAAACAAATGTTCTCCGTTTTGCAACTTTTCTTCCGAAGATCCACCGCAATCTTGAATGTCGTCCAGTTTCCATTCAGCCTCTATTACCAATGATGTTCACGTCCACTCCAATGATGTTCGCATCCTCCATTATATTTTCTTTCTAATTGAACTACCTTAAAACATCGCCTTTACAAAATCACAATTCAGTCTAATTCTTCCCTCAATCAAATAGCTTTCCCCATGATTTCCCTGTTACGATTAAACAAACACTTGTTTATTTAATACTATATAAAAGTTTGAGGACACGAGTACAAGCTTTGTGTTGCCTTGTTACATGTGTACTGGAACACAGTTACAAAGTGTACTGACCTTACAGACTAGCGCGCAGTACGGCGACTCCGTCTAGCAGTGCTATTGATGAACTAACATACAACATTCCCTTTCCCATCAAATTTTGTTGTTGAATACAACATAAGACGTTTAAGAGAATGTTGCAGGCATTATTTTTGTTAAAATCCCCTATGTTTCGAAAATTGAAAAATTAAAACTTCAGAATTGGAGATAGGGATTTTTATTTTAGACAAAGTCTCTTGTACAAAATTAGCTCTTCAAAAAAGATCATGTACAATTTCCTCAAAAAACAATTTTTTTTGCATATTTTTCGATTGAAATTTACAAACAAATATTTTCTCAAAAACCGCTCCAACTTTTTTAAAAAAAAATTTCACATTAGGAATGGTAAGTAATATGGCACTAGTCTCATTTTCGGGTAATGCTGTGCTTTTTTCGAAAATTGCAAAAAGGAATTGCAGTATATTACATAACCGTTACTAAGGGAGGAGGAAGTATGTGCTGTTGCTAAACGAACCTGCGCATTCGTTCAACGTCAACATTTGTGCCGTAAAATGCCCGATTATGAACAATTTCTTGCACCAGAAAAGTCGTTCATAATGCTGATAAATTTAAAAAAGTGTATAATCTTCCACCGTGATCTTCCACCACGCATAAGATTGTTGCGAAAGGAGTGGAGAGTTTGGTTATTTTGCCAAGGGGAATTTGATATCACATTTGTATTTCGTTTTTCGATGCAAAATGATTTCTATTATGCAGGAGCAAACATATCTAGTTATCACATTTGTCTACAACGCTCCTTATTTATTCTTAATTCAACTAACGTTGGCAAAGGAGTGGGGAGTAGGTATTCCGGCAGTAGCGTAAAGAAATGAGTGTGGGCCCGCCCGGAAATCTTTTATCCTGGCACCCTTCGTAAAAGTGTAAAGAAACACAAGTAGTATTAGTACCTTACAGAATAAAAAATATTCCCTAAAACTAGGCCCTCTTTTACCCCAAACGTTACGCCATTGTATCCCGGGGCTCAAGAAAACGTATGCGTATACATTTGTGCGCCCTCGAATGTTAAAGCAGTATGTATCGATCTGCGCATGCGCTGTTCAAGTTTCGCATCACTTTAGTACATCTGCGCATGCGCAGATCCAATGGTTCTGTTTGATGCACAAACTTCGTAATATGCGACGATCGAGGAATCGTTCCCGATAAACACGGCTAGCTTCGTTGGCGTTGCTAAGGCATTCATCGAGCAGAAACAGCAGACCTCCATCCCTCCATTCTCTTCCATGTTTCACTTAACACTACCGTGGAGCCGTAGAAAACTAATTACAAATACTACGAAAAGCCGGAGAATGCTCTAGCGCTGACCAAACACATTACCCCATGAGCCCGCTGGGCTTGCGCCTTCGTCATTCTCTAAGGTTACCCGAACTGCGCGTCGCGAATATACCGTAATGCTCGCAATTCATGTCCCTGCTTGTAACAGTAGGGACTGATCTTTCGAAATAGTGGAAGAGGAATTGTCTCAAAATAACGTTATTTGCTATAAACTTTAAGGAATCATACCAATAAACTGTCACTTGTTTATGGAAATATTTCCACCATGGACTGACCCAAATGAAACATCTAATAATGCTCTCAGAAAGTGCAGTACTAGCACTGATCATTGTAACTTTCTCAATGTCGCCTATAACTTGTTGTGGTTGTATTGTATTAATTTGTAGACAGCGAATAGCACTTTTTGAAAAAATGCTTGCAACACAAATGCTGGCATTAATCATAACTAATATTGCAATTGAAACAAAAATTTAATATTTTGTGATATTGAAGAACTGTAAGTGCTCTTTCTTTTGATGTAAACATCAAACTAAAAACATTTTCAAAATTGCATTTTTGACTTTATTTTTATTTCTTAATTTTTTCCCCCTTAACCTAATAATTTAAACATTCAAAAATTCTGAAGTATTGTATACAAGATTGGTAAGTTGCAAAATGGGACAGTGTTAGAATTCTGAGAAATTAAATACAATAGAAATTTCTACTTGCTTTTCTGTGTCTGCAAGAGTATCATCCGTAACCACTTACCTGCGATCAGTAGATAATTACCATCATTACACAATAAATAGAATTGTCCCTTCACATTTTACAATTACATATGGTCAATTAAATTAGTTTCAAAATCAATAAGTAGTTATATGAAAAAGTATGTGATTCAGTTAATTAAATTGATATTGAATTTTCACTTTACAGAGAATATTGATTAAGAGCACAAAAAAATTAAACTAGTATTGCCTACGTCGCTTCTACAGGTGATTATTTTTTCATAGAACTCTTACAACAGCATTCCTCCGTTGTTGACCATGTGCATGGTTCTGCGATTCATAATGAAACACAAGTCCCATGCTGATTTTATAATTGGATGTTGTGACTAACTCCATGGGGGGAGCAGCCCACCTGAGTGCTCCTGTCAACTTGTTTCAAAATGTGCATTTGTGCAAATTGAAATGTATTTGTGCAATTTGAAATTTAGCAGATACATACAATATTAGAGTAGAAATACATGAGTATTTTTCAAAATTAAATAAAGTATTGACATAATGTGAAAAAAATATATTTTAAAAATTGCACTACATTTGAAATAATATGTTTATAAAAATTATATTTACATCATATGAAAGTACATCTCCGTAGGTTTAATTCAAGTACAATTGTATTTTTCTAAATGACAAATGTAGGTGCATGAAAATTCTTTAAATATTAATGCACATACGATTTTACTGAAAAAATAATTGGTAATATTTCTGAAAGGAGTTGGATTTGAGAAAAAAGAAAAAAAACAGGACACCTATTTTCAATTCTACACCTGATAAAATAAGTTTTGAGTCACTAAAAAATAGTGATGTTTTATTAGATGCGTGATTTGACATGAAATTTCTCAATAACAAACCTAACTAACTTTATTTGTACAATAGAAATTACATTACCAGCAAATCTTTTACCTGATGCCATACTAAAAATGACAATTATGGATAGTCTTTCTTTTGAGTGACCTTGGTACATTCCTTGAATAAGAGCACTAAACAACAGTTTATACCTTCCTTTACTTCTCAATCAATCAACAAAATGAAATGACTGAACAGAAAACTGAATTAAGAAATTGTATGAAACAATTAAAAATCATTTCACATTTACTCAGACAAATAATAATTATAACAAATTTAATATAATTTAATATACATCTTAATACATTAAGGCTACGCACAACATCTTTTATGTACATACTTCACTGAAGCAATTATAGCAAAATTAAACACAACAAAAACAACTTGGAATGCAAGAGACATCAATTATTTATAAGAGAGATATAGAGCAACTTGTAATTAACATTTCAACACAGATGTGTGCCTTATAAAAGGGTTCCTTTTAAGCTTGAATGCAAAGGTGCAGAAAGTTATCAGGGTAGCTCAAATGTTCGCTCATCCATTGTAACGGAGTGTCCATAGGAGGTTCAATTCCATGTGTTGTAACACGAACTGGAAGGGAAAGAAAAATATTACTTCAAATTTTGCATGGAATAATCTTACCACTAAGAGTTGATTATATTTCTACGTGTGAATTAAAATAAAAATATGTACCCTACAATGTACAACAAAAAAATCTACAATTTGCATGTGATTAGCAACTTCATTTTACTGTCAAGTTTTATTCTAGAAAATAATTAATTCGAAGAATGTGCATGTTTAATCACAAGAATTAACAATATGTGTAATTTATAATATAATCAAAAGTTGAAATCAGTTTTCAATAATCATACATTTTTAAGATTTCCTGATTTCATTTCAAATATGAAACTCACATTCACATATCTACCCAATTCTACTATATATTAATGTATGAATCCCTATAAAGAGCTTAATATTTATTACATGCACATCTAGACACTTTTCAATACTTCATACAAAACTCAAATCACTTCACCTTTCTCATTAGGGTAGACTTCTTCAATCAAATTTAATAAAGTTTTGCGTTGGCCTTCTTCAGTGAGAGGCTTTATCAGCCGTTGAAGGAAGGGCTCCTCTCCTCGATAGCATCGAAACGGTATGTATTTGAAGGAGTCGTCGCCAGGCACTTCCATTAATTTTCGATTTACTGCCCAAAACTGGTCAAATTTATCTGAGAAAGACCAAACAAACTGCTTCATATTCAAAATTTATTCCAACAAATAATAAATACAAAATCTCTTAAGTATTGTGCAGCAATGTTATTTTATAAGAACTACAATAATGTTATATTGCTTTTGTTGGTTAAAACTTTACTTAGGTTTGGTCACTGTCTGAGGGTGCTATGTAGTTTCTTTCTATGTAGTCTTTTTAAGACCAGTTTAAGAAAGAAGCATTTAAAAAAAATATCAAGATGGGATAACTAAATCTTTCTCAATGTTTTTGTAATTCATGCACATATTCTTAAAGTCTGTAAACATACATTTGAATAAAACTACATATACCCTTGTGAACATTCAAAACTTTGTAAATCATAGCTTAGAAGTGAAGATAGCTTCGCAATGGAACCTAACTTACAGTGTATCTGGCAACCTATACTATCAGGTGAAGGGCCCCTAAAAGAGATAATAGAATGGTCTCATGTTGTAGATTACAGCAGAAAATATAGCTAGAGGCTCTTCAGGAACATGAAAACCTAATTTTAAAACTCAATTTGTTGTGGAGTGAGGATTGCATGGATGTGAGGATGTGCTGAGCTGCTGATTTCCCACAATCTATTTGTCATGTTTGGCAGCCTTTTTAGTTCCCAAATGAAGAGAATTGTGCTCCTTCCTCGGAGAAGAGGGACGTTGCTTTGTCAACCCTTCAGATTAAGCAGACTAGTGGGCTATGGTTAAACAATGTTCCCCTTTTTTTTTTATTTGATGAGCTAGAAACAAAAAATCATTTGCACGTATCTCACACAAATCTGTTGTAAATTCTAAGTGTATGTTGTGTTACTTTAATACAGTGTTTGAAAATTATTTCTTATAACTTCAGACACGAGACATAGAGTTTTCAAGCAGTAACACTTAACAATGCATTTACAACCAAAACTAATAAAGTCACGTAATGCAGATTCTCAAAACTCTCAGAATTCTGCAAAGTGGAAAATTCATCATCATTCATCATTTAAATCAAATTTTTAATTTTTTAAATAATGAACTTTAGAGACCCTATCTGCAACAATACATAGAAAGCACCACAGGCTGTCAGCTTTAAGTGCTGAAGACTCATTGCCAGTTTTCTTTGAATATAGTGACCAGTTGTCTTTGAATATAGTGACCAGATGTCCCGTTTTTAAAGGGATGGTTTCATTTTTTGAACAATGTGTCCCATTGTCCCAACAAAGGCTTAAAAGGGACATAAGAACATCCAGATTTTTTCTCAGTTGGCTGAAATGTGTATGTGCATTTTTTTTCCTGTCTCAATGGTCCTTAAAATTCCTGATTCATTGCAACTCTTCAAAAATATTCACACTTTAGTAAAATATAATTCATCAGTACCAGGAACCAACACAGCTGTTGATAAATAAAATTTTTACAATAATAAAAAGCCTCTGGACTGATGAAAAGAATAGAGTTAAGTCTGAAACTTTGAAATGTATTGCAATAGTAAAACACTATTTTCAAGACACAGTGTACAATGAATTTCATGAAATGCTATTTATAAGCCTCTTAGGCTGGGGAATCATACAAGTTCTTGAGAGAAATGTAAGATTGCAGAAACCTCAAGTGGATAGTAATATATTTCCATACTTCCATATCAATAAATGCAAGAAATATGTGCAGAATATTTAGGTATTAATTGTACACGTGTATAGAAAACTGATGAAAACTGACGGTTGTACAACCCCCTCAAAAAAGATAAATGATGGCCCATGTAACTCATAATTATTACGACAGATTTTGTATCTATTTTGTTGTTGTTGTCGTTGATGTTGTATTCTTCTTCAAAATACCACAGCAACTAATAATTACAACTTGGTAAGATATTAATATTAGATTTTGTGTTTAGTTATTTACTGAATAAATTCAACAATGGTAAAATATTTTTCCCAACAATGGTCAAATATTTATTGCAGATTATTGGTAAGAACAAGTGAGAATTAAAGCCATGCAATACAAGTATTAAAATTAATTGCACAAGTACCTTGAAACATGCATTGCAAGAGAAAAAAACAACAACACATCCACCCTTTTTAATTAAAAAAAAAGGGATTTTTTATGATAATTAATTAAAAATCATGATTTTTAAGGACGTGAAGGGCGATTTTCATAGCTTGCCCTTCACATACGCTTTGTCTTGCCAAATTACTTTCAAAGGCAAGTTTTCTCGCTTTGCTTGCCCAAATTCAAGTCTGAGCGAGCTTGGGCCTTCAGCCCTTGCTTGCACTATAAACATCCTCGAGCCTATCCACCTCATAATTACCAATTCACTTTTATTAAGAAAGACTCCAAAATTCAAACTATGCAGTTGCAAACACATTATGAAGGAAGATCACAACAAGCTTTGTATATCACACCACCACAGTCGCAGCACTATTTTGTGATGGAGCTCCTACAAGATACTAGGGAGAAGTTGTCTCCCCTAACTAATGATGTCACGTTTGTGACCAATTACGAGCTCCTTGTCCCCTCCAATGTGGAATTCCACCTTGCCGGAATGGCGCAAAGTGTCAGTGTAAATGATTTCCGTAAGTTGTACCATATACTAGACTTAAGCCAAAAAAATCTTACTCAAATCCATAAACTGATCTCACACAATTTACCATTTTGTAGGCCAAGCCACAGTTGATTATGATCTTTTTTCTGCATATTTGAAACCACTTGACTCCGATGCTTCAAAACATCTGCTTCCTTTATGCACGACATGAAGTATGATTCAACAGCCTCTCTAGAAAGAAAAAAAAAAAAAGAGAATATCATACATAGCCATAGAGAAATAAGGATGAATAATAACAGAGTTTTAACATGCTAAACATTTTGTTTAGAACTAACAGTTCATACTCACATTATAATAATTAATGTCAACCAATATAGAATTTACACAGTTATCTTAGCTCACCTAGATTGGCAATGAATCAATTCTTCTTCAGGAAATTTGTCAAAGTGAACAGTAATTGTCCAGGGAAGCTGAATGTCAGCACTGTACAAATCGTACAAAACTCCAATAGGATAATGCCTGCAAGTTATTTCAAATAAATTTACATAATTATATTCTCACAAAAGTTAAAAGAAATGGCAGAAGTTCTTGACATACCATTTAAGAGCCATCCCACTAAAATCAAGCCACATTTCAGAGTCTTGCTTATCTGAATGTATGTATTGAACAAAATGTTTCCGGATCTGCAAATGATTGTCATAATTAATATAGAACTATAATATAGAACATAATTACATATAATACAACATATAATATATAACATAATTACATATAATACAGCAACATATAATATAGAACATAATTACATATAATACAACACATAATATAGAACATAATTTATCTTAATTATTAATAAATATTCTTTCGGAAACATTAAATAAATGCCCTCTCTGTTGCAGGGCAATCTACACTACAAACAGCGTTCTTCTCTTTCCAATTTACTCAAAAAGCTATTAACTTACTTTGTCAGTTACTAAAGGAAAGTAGCTGAGACGGGGAACCATTAAATAAAATGGATCAGGAGTATGCAAACCACATACTTCTTCAGAATTTAGCTGGAAACAAACAGGTAATCTCCCTTCCCAAATCAATCTCAAAACTTCCCTATCGTTAGCCATTTCACAGACACGAAGCCATGAAAATAAAAAACGAAGACTGTTTCATTTTTCCATATTTTGTTTATATTAAAAATATCCACTGCAGAGCGGGGATAGGGTTAACAGCCATGCGAGTCATAAGAAACAGTGATCGCGATTGATTAAGTTCTTGATCAGTCCAAATTCACATATATTTTCTGTACTTAAGCTAGTCGACTACCCGCAATTATTTTACAACCTTCAGGGTTTTTGCTGTGGGGAAACTACCCGAATGCGTTTTTCTTTTTTTGGCGTTTCCTTAGATTGATGTCAAATCCACTTTCACAGCGTGAGAAACCGATACCGCTTTTCCACATAGAATCATTGTGTAGTGAACTGTTACACAATACAAATATAATAATTTATCTATGTATCAGCAGCACACATCACATCTGATTATAAGAACACATCCCCTACCCATCCTCCTGTGACCATCACTATACTAGGATTTATTTATCTATGCATTTGAAGTAAATCAAGTGTTCACGATTTCATCCAATACGAAGCTTGAACGTCCTCATAGTGACGTCACTATAGCGACATTTGCTCTAGGATTGGATGAAACCGCAATAGTTAATGTGTGTCAGGTGCACAAATAAATAAATCGTACTATATAGGTATCAGTGCTGCCATCCCAAGATATATATGCGTCATCCTACTGTGGGTAAATGGTATCGTGGAGTGAAAATGACCGATTTTCGAACGAAATTATGCTAAAATTTGGGGCTGCCCAAAATTATCTGCATTTGATTTAAAGAATTATCTGTTATATTTCCACCAATCTCCTGTCCGTATTATTTGATTCTCGACGGATCAATCCACCAAGAGCACGAGTCGCACACGACGAATGGCTCAAAAAGAGCCGGTTCACCGCAACTCCATCGCAAATACTCTCTGCATCGAAAAGAACAGTTCTACGGTGTAGGAAATGGGTGAACTTACATTCCCACACATCTTCACATTTCTTTCACCGTTTTCTATCAAAATTAATCGGGGGCAACGAGCCGAAATGCTGAAAAGGTTCTCTCATTGACCACGTGATGTCTCCAATATTGGGGTGTGCAGATTACCTGCTCACTTTTTTCGTACAGATCCTCTCCCCCTTGAGAGTTGAATATTTTAATCCTTCGACCTTAACATATGTATACTTGGTCGAAGGTTGAATCTCATGATGAAAATAATGTACTGTTATTTACATTATACTGCTTCTGCACAGTATAGATATTTTTTTTTAACTCGACCCCTCAAGGCCCTACTTCAGGGTATCATTATGTCGCTTTTTTCTCGGTCATGAATACAGTCGCGATCATGCGATACGACCGAGAAAGACGCGGAATTCAGTGACATAATGACACCGTGGAGTAGCGCCTTGAGGGGCAGAGTTATAAAACGCGCACTGTAGACCAGTGAGCCTTAGCGCACGTGTGTGAATGAGGCCCAGTTGCTATGGTAACGGAAAAGCTTCAGTGGCAGACGCCGAGTGGGCGGACGGTAAACTGTTCTGTCTAGTTGATTTGAACTGAATGTTATTTCGATCGTACTTACGAACTGATTTTTTTTCTCATCCCGTTTGAGAATTTCTAATGTGACTACATTAATTACGGTATTTCTTCAAGATTCTAGGCCAAATTCATCTCTTTCTAGAATAATTCCAATTGACTGAATGTTTCTAAACTAATTAATGGCTGTTTACGAAGTATTTTCATATTGCGCTAAATATAGACATAAAACAACAATCTGTTCTAGTGCTTCAGTATTTATTGTTGTCATTTCTCTTTTAATCATTCTTGGACCTTTCCTTCTTGTATACCGAAGTAATGGTAAGTATGGAATATTACAGTCATTATGAAACAGTGTAAGATTTGAAATAACCCGAACACATATCTATACAGGTTTCTGGCTTAGAACATCTGCATATAGGGAGCAACCTGAAGTACATTTCAAATACCAATATGTGCTCATTATTGAAACTGAACAGTTCAATAATCCACTTATTTGTAGTACTTTCTCTTACCTGAGAAGCACAGATCATAATGAAGGACACTGTGCAATTGTCAAGGTAAAATGTTTTTCTTCTTTTTCACAACAATAAAAAATTAATATTTGTAAGTACCGTACCTGAATATAAAACCTTTCTTACAGTATATTGCTTGGAAGTTAATATGTTTAACCTGTAGTATATTTTTTTCTTCACCTTCTAGTCCAGAGAAATTGATAATGATGATGATGGAAAATATGATGAATTGTCTATAGAATTTTCTGTAGTTCTTGAATCAACAGCAATTTATGGCATAAAGCTGCTTCTTGTTTTTGATTATAAGCTCCATGTAGGTACATTTTTAACTTTAGTTAAAAAACATTTACATCTGACACAATTATTGTTTTCTTCCATTGTTTATGAATTTGTTCTTCATTGGTAGGCTATGAGTTCACTACAAATGGAATCTTTGGGTTATCTGCAGCACAGTGCAGGTTTGCCTGGTGCTCGATTTGATGCAACTGCTGATCTACATTTGGTACAGAGAAAGCCTTTGAATAGTTATGGAAGAGATTTGAAATATAACACTTCCATCATAGCTAATGAAAATACACTATACCAAAGATTTGACCTTAGTACAATCTTGAAAGAATATGGAAGAAGAAGAGGTAAGTTTGTGTATACAATGGTAATTTTTATGGGTAAATATTTTAAAAAGTTACACATTTTTCAAAAATTGTTCTTCCATTTCAGTGTCAACAATTTTAAGTAATATTTATTCCCTTTGGACAGCTGGACTGTCATCTGACGGTCCTTTTATTTTAACAGTCATAATACATTATCCAGAACAGAATTTTATTTACCGACCAAGATTCTGGCAAGTAGTTAAATGGGCTTGGATGCAGTATATTTCTGTACTACTGGTGTTTTTGTACGTGTTTAAATCTGTAAAAACATATGTATTTAGGAATCGACTTATTCCAAGTATTAAATATGTTCCTTGGAAAAAATCATTGTGATTATGTGTATAGAAAACTCAACTTTTTGCAAATTGTAAATTCATCTCATTTGTGAAAGCAGCTGTTTTTTTAAACATTTTAAATACACTGGTCAACTTGACTACCTAAATAATTTCAAATACTAGTGACTAATTCCAAACATCTTTCCTCTAATTCCTTGAACAGTGGTGGCCCTTGCTTAGGCTGCACAGTTGCACGAGATCCAGATAATCGAAAAAATATTGTTTTGTATTCCAGCATTTTAAACGCCCTTTTGTTGCAAGAATTCGTTCATAATCGGGCATTTTAAGGCATAAACAGCGTTGCCAGATGATACGCATATCCATTACCAACCTTCAAAAATCCCGGTAGTACTTCACTAAAATTCCCGGTATCCATGACAAGTGATTTAAATTCTGAAATTGTTCATATTATAACTATTAGGGAGTCTTGTGCACGCCATAGCGGCAGCATTATCGATCTTCTGCACATGCGCAGATGCACGAAAGTGATGCGAAACTTGCACTGCGCATGCGCAGACGATTGATAGCTCTTTAACGTTCGAGGGTGTACAAACATCCCACAGAAATGAAGAGTGAAAAAATACTGACTTCCAAATATCAAATACTGTTCTTTAAAGTCTAGTAACATAAAAAATATTGATTTCTCTACAAATATGTTCAAGGAAGCCTAAAAGTGAATAAGGAAATAAACAGCAGTGCGATACAATTGTGGGTCGTTAACAGTATGGCACGCGGTGCTATGTTAGCCGATTGCAATGAAATAATTAAGTTGAACGAAGCAACGTTCTTAGAGTAGAACTTTAATCTCATCTAAAATGTATTTTGATAAAAATTTACGGAATACAATCTCGTGTGCGAATTTCAGCGCTGTAGTTCTAACAGTTTAGGCGGTAGAGCCTAGTGAATTTCACTGTTATTTGAGGAGCGTTGAGAATTCGAAAATACAACACTTTCAAATTCGTCGATCGATTTTTCTAAAAACCAGGGAGCTAGCCCGAAATTTTCTGGCGAATAAAGTGGTGATACCCGTGTTCGATTAGAAGCTTAGTTTTTCAGAAAATCGCAAAACCTACGACATAGTAGTCACTTTCGCCCAAACAGCTGCGTAGAAAATAGTTATTCTAAGCAGTTTCAGTATAAACGAGAAACTTCATTTCACACTACATTAAAAGAGTACAGTACATACAATCTTGTGTTCGATTTTCGGCGCTGTAGTTTAGGCGGAGGAGCCTAGTGAATTTGATTATTATTTGAGAAGCGTTTAGAATTTGAAAATACAGCACTTTCTATCCAATGATCCTAGAAAGCACATTTTTCATCCGTATATGACAAATGATGACATTTTCGAAAACTACATGAATTTTGAAATACGCCAGTGTTTGTATAATTGACATACGATGCATAGTTTATGAGATAGGCGAGTGTCATTTTTGTGTTAAAAAATGTAGTTTCGCCAATCCATGGATCGACGAAATTTTCCGATTTTCGACATACCACAAATTTTTCTAAAAACATAGGACCTAGCTAGAAAATCGAAACACCAACGCCATAAACGTCGCTTTCGTCCAAATAGCTGTGTAAAAAGTGCAATTCTAGACAGTTTCTTAATTAACAAAAACCTTCGTATATCCCCCGCCAATTATACCCGCAAATTACGTCCACAATTTCAAAAAAAATTTATTTCGGCAATGCCATCTTAAATTCTGTAAACAAGTGGAACATTAAGAAAAACTCAAAGGTGCGAACCAAACTCAAATCAGATGAATTTTTTACGAGATTGACGAGAAACAAAAAAAACCTCAACTGATCAATATACAAAATACCCCCCCTTTACGTGCCAAATTTGGAAAAATATTAAATCAACAGCTGCTATCTGAAATTCGGTATACAAGTAGAACACATTAAGAGAAATTCACAGGTGCAAAGTAAACTCAAATTTGAAGAATAGTTTACGAGATAAACAAGAAACAAAAGGAACCTCAACTGATCCACTTTAAGAGAAATTCAAAAAGTTGAAAAAAACTCAAATAAGTCAAATAGTTAACGAGATAGATGAGAATTAAAAGAAACCTCAACTGATCAACTTACAAAATACCCCCCCATTTCGTGCCTAATTCGGAAAAATATTAATTTCAGAGCTGCTATCTAATATTCTAAATAAAAGTAGAACACACAAAACGAGAAACAAAATAAAACCTATAAACTACCTACTCCTAACCTACACATTACGTGCCAAATTTGGAAAAATATTCATTTCAGCGCCGCTATCTGAAATTCTGTATAAAAGTAAAACATTTTAAGAGAGTTTCATAGGTGCAAAGAAAACTCAAATCAGGCAAATAGTTTACGAGATACACGAGAAATAAAACGAACCTCAACTGATCAAATTACAAACAACCACTTCATTACGTGAAAAATTAGCAAAAATATTAATTTCAGCACTGCTATCTTTAATTCTGTATACAAGTAGAACACTTTAAGAGAAATTCATAGGTGCAAAGAAAGCTCACATCAGACAACTAGTTTCCGAGATAGACGAGACACAAAAGGAATCTCAATTGTTCAAGTTTTAAAACGATTACCCCTTACGTGCAAATTTCGAAAAATATTATTTCCAGTACTGTTATCTGTAATTCTGTATAAGAGTAAAACACATTAAAAGAAATTGATTGGCGCAAATAAACACCAATCAGACGAATAGTTTCCGAGAGAGACGAGAAATCAAAACCCTCAATTGTTCCAGTTACAAAACGACACCCCCTCACGTGCCAAATTTCGAAAAATTTTAATTTAGGCACTACTATCTGCAATTCTGCATACAAGTAAAACACATTAAAAGAAAGTGATCGGTGCAAAGTAAACTCCAATCAGACGAATAGTTTCCGAGATAGACGAAAAATCAAAACCCTCAATAGGTCAAGTTACAAAACGACACACCCTTAAGTAGAAAATTTCGAAAAATATTAATTTCAGCACTACTATCTATAATTCTGTATACAAGTAAAAAGCATTAAAAGAAATTGATTGGTGCAAAGAAAACTCCAATCAAACGAATAGTTTCCGAGATAGACGAAGAACAAAAAGGAACCTCAATTGGGCAAAGTACAAAACGACCCCCCCCTTACATGCCAAAATTCGAAAAATATTAATTTCAGCACAGCTATCTCTAATTCTGTATACAAGTAAAAAACATTAAAAGAAATTGATTGGTGCAAAAAAAAACTCCAATCAGACGAATAGTTTCCGAGATAGACAAGAAACAATAAGAACCTCAATTGGGCAAAGTACGAAACGAACCCCCCTTACGTGCCAAATTACGAAAAATATTAATTTCAGCACGGCTATCTCTAATTCTGTATGGGAGTTGCTTTGCCACCAATCAATTTCTTTTAATGTGTTGAATACATGTAACCAGGAATTGATGATAGCAGTGCAGAAATTAATATTTTTTGAAATTTGGACGTAAGGGCGCGCGGTCGTTTGCTACTTTGCCTTAATAGAGGTTCCTTTTGTTTGTCGTCTATCTTCCCGGAAAAAGGATTCGTCTGATTGGAGTTTGCTTTTGCACCAATGCAATTTCCTTTTAATGTGTTTGACTGGTAACCATAATTAGAGATAGCAGTGCTGAAAATTAATATTTTCAAATTTTTGCACGTAAGGGGGGGTCGTTTTGATACTTTGCCTTAGATAAAGTCTTTTGTTTTTCGTCTACTCGCGAAAGTATTTCGTCTGATAAGGGGGGGGTGAGTGAAGGACGAATGGAGGGAAAAAAGGGGGAGTGGAGCTTTGCTTGCACCAATCAATTTCTTTTAATGTGTTTTTTTTACTGGTAACCTGAATTAGGATAGCAGTGCACGAAATTAAATATTTTTTTCGAAATTTTGGCACGTAAGGGGGGTCGTTTTGTACTTTGCTTAATAGAGGTTCCTTGTTTGTTTTTGTCTATCTCCGGGAAAAAAACTATTCGTCTGATTGGAGTTTGCTTGCCACCAATCAATTTCTTTTAATGTGTTTTACTTGGTAACCAGAATTAGAGATAGCAGTGCTGAAATTAATATTTTCCGAAAGTTTGCACGTAAGGTGGGGTCGTTTTTGTACTTTGCTTAATAGAGGTTCCTTTTTGTTTTCGCTCTATCTCGGAAACTATTCGTCTGATGGCGAGTTTGCTTTGCACCCAATCAATTTCGTGTTAATATGTTTACTTGTAACAGAATTAGAGATAGCAGTGCTGAAATTAATATTTTCGAAGTTTGGCACGTAAGGGGCGGCGTTCCGTTTGTACTTTGGCCAATAGAAGCGTCCTTTTGCTTTTCGTCTATCTCGCGAAAGGTATTTCGTCTTGATTGGGAGTTTGCTTTGCACCAATTCAATGTCTTTTAATGTGTTTACTTGTAACCATAATTAGAGATAGCGCTGCTGAAATTAATATTTTCCCAAATTGGCACGAAGGGGGGGTCGTTTTGTACTTTGCTTAATAGAGATTTCCTTTTGTTTTTCGTCTACTCGAAAACTATTCGTCTGATTGAGTTGCTTTGCACAATCAATTTCTTTTAATGTGTTTTACTTGTAAACCCAGAATTAGAGATAAGCAGTGCTTGAAATTAATAGTTTTCGGAATTTGCAAGTAAGGGGGGTCGTTTTGTACTTTGCGCAATCGTAGAGGTCCTTTTTGTTTTTTCGTCTATCTCGGAAAACCTAATTCGTCTGATTGGCGGAGTTTGCCTTTGCACCAATCAATGTCTTTTAATGTTTTTACTTGTAACCAGAATTAGAGAGTAGCAGTGCTGAAATAATATTTTTCGGAATTTGGCCACGTACGGGGGTCGTTTTGTTACTTTGCCCAATAGAGGTTTTTTTTGTTTTCTCGTCTATCTGCGGAAACTATTCGTCTGATTGGAGTTTGCTTTTGCCACCAATCAATTTCTTTTAATGTGTGATAATGTAACGCGGAATTGATGAGGAGCAGTGCAGAAATTAATATTTTTTCGGAAATTTGGCCACGTAAGGGCGGTTTCGTTTTGTACTTTGCTTAATAGAGGTTCCTTTTTTGTTTTTCGTCATCTCCGGAATAGGGATTCGTCTGATTGGAGTTTGCTTTGCACAATCAATTTCTTTTATGTGTTTTACTTGTAACCATAATTAAGAGATGAGCAGTGCTGAAATTAATATTTTCCAATTTAGGCACGTAAGGGGGGGGTCGTTTTGTACTTTGCTTAATATGAAGCGTTTCCTTTTTGTTTTTCGTCTATCCGGAAAGTATTTGTCTGATTTGAGTTGGCTTTGCCACCATCAATTTCTTTTAATGTGTTTACTTGGTAACCAGAATTAGAGAGAGCAGTGCCTGAAATTATATTTTTCGAAAATTTGGCACGTAAGGGGGCGTCGTTTTGTACTTTTCCGCCCAATAGAGGTTCCTTTTTGTTTGGTGTCTATTTCGGAAAGTATTCGTCTGATTTGGAGTTTGCT